ACCCCCCTGTTAAAATTCATGGCGGCGCCCTTGGAAGTTAGGTACATAGTATAGGAACTTCATAAACATACTTTCTTTTTAATATTACATTTTTTAATAAAAAAATTTCATCAAATTCAAAAAAATGTATTAATAATATATCCAAAACATTAGTTATATAAAATCCGATACTTTTTATTCAAATAAATATGAGAAAATATAAGAATATTCCGTTTCCAATTATTTTGAATTAACATTAATTTTACAATTATATTTCAACATAAATCTAATGATGCAGAATTATAAATGTGATTAAAATTTAAATATTTGAGACATGAAAATCGCCGTTATGGATGTCCAGTATCTGTAAAAATGACAATAATTGAAGGAGCACAAATTATAATTTCTGAACGTCATGTTCATAGTCACGAATCAGCACCTCAATATGCAGTGGCGTTGCGAGGCTATGTTAATAGTTTAAGAGACAGAGCTATTAGGGAGAACATTATTCCACACAATATTATTGACCAGGAAGCGCATTTGTAAGTTTTTTAACAAATTAATCATTTGACCTTATAACATGATTGTATATAAACGTATTAAGTACAAATAAATAATTATATAGATTCCCTGAAGCGGCGATGTATATAGGTCGTCCAGCTGCTCTTAGGGCTATTGCAGGAGCTAGGCATCGGAACAATCCTCCTATTCCAGATTTTTTAGCAGACTGGATAAATATTTTGAATTCTAATGAATGGGGCCCAAGATTGCGATATGTTAATGGGCCAATGACTCCTTTCTACCAAGGCCCCTTGGAGTTATTGAGGGATGATGGAAGTACACGCTTTATAGGACTCGTGTTTACCAACAATACTTTCATGCAGGAATTGAATGTACACCTCGAAGGAGTACGAACAATGTGTATGGACAGTACTTTTCAAATAAGACCATGGTAACCAGCTGACATAGAACAGTTGTTTACAGTACAAATTATTTTTAATAATGTAGTTAGTTTAAAATAAAGACATACATAGTACACATGTAAATATTATACATACATTTAAAATATGATTTATCTCTTTTCAGTCAATTCCAATTATACATGCCCTACTAGTTGATCGCCAAACCGAGTCCTACATCCGGGTACTTCAATTTCTAAGGTATGATTTGCAGTTGAACATAAATTATGAAAACCTGCAGGTTATGACTGATTTTGAATAGGGCCTAAGAAATGCCATAGGTAGAGTGATCCCAGAAGCCAACAATTCTGGCTGTTGGTTTCATTATATTCAGGTAGGTACTTTAAAAATAAAGAGAAATCAAATTAACTCTTACTATACATAAATAAATTATTTAATGACATGTGAAGGTAATAGACAGTTTTTTAATAAATGTTGTCTTATTCAGAGCATTATACATTATGTTCGAAGTCATCATCTAATGCAGTTATGCAGAGAAAATGAAAATGCAAGGCGAATTCTGCGAATGGTAATATTTTTTTTACGATGAATAAGAGAGTAAATGAGAATTTTATTATAAAATTAAAAACTTTTACAGTATAACCACTAAACAAAGAAAATATATTGAGTAAGAATGTACTATGTACCAGAATTTGTTTTAATTTAATAAAAAAAACAAAATAGTATATGTGCTAAATAATTGCATCTGTAGTAGAATAAAGTGTTGTACTTGCATGTAAATATTAAAATAAATTTTCTTTGGTTAGAAATTTCTCTTTTCCTTTTAATAAATCAATTTTAGTTAGGTATCCAAGTAAAAATTTACTAATCAAACTAATATATCAATATTTTTGTATAGTTGTAATATTTGATTGATTTTTCTTAACATTAATTTCTGTTAACATTTTTTATATTAGTTAATGGCTTTAGTTCATCTGCTAGCAGTTGTCATACAACATCATGGCAATTCTTTCTCTATCCACTTAGGCTTAAGACTAATTCAAGATCTAGGTGAGTTAATAATCATTAATTAAATAATGCTAAGTCGTCTGTTTAGGATTTAGTTTTATGAATATGATTTTAATATTTTTGACTACAGTTACCAGCTATAATTTAGTGATAGAATTGGAACCTCTAATGCGATATTATGAGTGATTCTGGATGGATACAGTGACTCCACAGAGGTTTACAGTATTTGGACTCGCACACAGAATCAATAATTTTATATAGTCTTGTCATGCGTCCCTCCTCCGATTAATGGGCCAACATCCAAACCTTTATCGGTTCTACGGTAATTATTTAAAAAAAAAAAAAAAATAGCAACTGTAAAGAAAAAGTCTGTATTTGTACAAATTTTTAGATCACTTAAGAACAGTCGAGGAAAGGGCTCGAAATGATTTTAGCAGAGCAGTCAATGGACAGAAGGTATGGGCAATAATAATTTTTAAATAATTTGTGAACTGTTATGATATGATTATTGTTTATTAAATGTTTATATTTGTAATCTCTATATATGTGTAATTTTTAATTGTTATAATTTAATAGGTAAGACAAACAAATTATAGATCAAACCTAAGCAATAGTACAACTATCAAAAATGCTTGGGTGAATGTGGAAAATAGTAACTACAATTTGGAAGATTTCATAAGAAATGTTTCATACACCCCGGAACAAATACTCAGGAACGAAATTGGGGAGCCAAATTTTCCACATCGTAATACATCTTGCATGTTATTTAAAGTGATCAATAGTTTAAGTTTAACTTTATATTTTAATTTTTATTTTTAGAAGCTATAGTTCCAGCTATAAATATGCAGCCACTAGTACCATCAGCATCATTACAACCACAGCCAATTTTGCCCCCTTCATATTGGGTCCAATCCGTCAACCACCTATTCTACAGAATCAGCTCCAGATTCAACCATTGTCACCACCACATCAGCTTCAAATTCGTCCTCCATCTTAAGTGTTACATATAGGAGAGTTAATAGTCAATGTTCCCCTCAGGAGACGCGGTCGAGGTAGAGGAAGGCATTTCCAAATTGGTTGACCTTATCATATAGGTAAAAAAAAAAAAAATGTTTTAAAACACTAGTTAATTTAATATATAGTTAATCCAATAAAATATAATATAGAAAATCATGGTCGCAAAGCAAGAGGACCACGACGGCAAACAATTGCTGGCAATGGTAGAGGTGATGAACAGCCACTACCAAATCATGAAATAGCACAATTGAATAGAGAGATTGATAATGATAATGGTAAAGCTAATTTGAATTTAAATATAAATCACAACAAGAATTGATTTTAAGTTTAAATATAAAATTTTTTATTGTTTACAGAACCAATAATTCCTCTACCGGCCAATGACCAACCACTTATTTAGGAGAATATGGGTGGATAAAAATAAAATTATTTTTACAATAATTATACTAAACGCATAAAATATTAAATGTAAATGATATACCTAATTCCTATTTTATTTGTTTTTTTGTAGATGTCTTGGAACTGTGTACAATATGTTTTGAAGAAGTGGTGGTTGTAAGGTTGAATCCTTGTGGCCATCAATATTGTATTCAGTGTGTCACTAGAATGATGGAAAAAAATTATAATATATGTCCTCTTTGAAGAAATTCAATATCTAGATATGAAGGGTATAATATTTAAAAAAAAATTAATTTTTTGTAATTTTCAATTGTATTTTTTTTTATATGTATCTCAAAGGCCGAAACTAAAGAAAAAAATAAAGATATTTTTAGTGTTTAAAATTTTGAATTTAATATATTAATTATTTTTATCTTGTACATATTATATATACCTATATCTATTTTAATAAAATTCTTTAAAACAAAATTTGTTACCATGTATTTTTAATTGATTGAATAAGTACCGACATTTTGGATCATAAATGATTTATTTGAGTAAAAAAAAAAATTTCTCTTACACAAAAAAATCAAAGAAATATAATTAAAAAAACATCCGAATTGTATACAAATTCATCCAAGTTGACTTGTTTTGCATATTTCTTAGATAGAATAATTAAATTATTGTATTTATGATGGATACATAAAATATTATTAACATTGCTACATTATTAAGTAAGTTTAGCATGAAATTAATAAATAGGGAATGTATTCAAAACAATAATATGGAATGCTTGATTAAATAGGTCAGCAGTAGTTAATAGTTCAAAAGTATGCTGCTAAGAACTATTCATATTTTACTATATAAATATTTATATAATTTAAATAACTTATAGGTATTGTAGTGCATTGTAAGAAAAATGAGTTTAGACTTTAGATTAAGTTAATGTGTAGAAAATACATAGATATTATTGAAATTAGAAATTCTTTGCCTCATACGTGATTGAACGACTGAAATTTGATGAGTGATCAAGCACTGCAACTGAACAGAAGTGAATTTTTTTTTCCGGAAAAAAGAAATTATTAACGATTCTAAGAACTTGGTGAAAGATTGAATACTCATGAAATCCAAATTATTCACAGAATGTTCGTGTAAGTGCATATTATGTGGATATGATAACATTTTCTTAATCATTTGTTCCGATGAAATAGTAAAATTTTGTTCCAAAACACTATAGATCCACATTTGGAAGAAGTATAGTGTGGAACAAAGTGAATCGAAACAAATATTTTGTGGAACAATAGTGTATAGCCCGATATTAAAGACGACAAAACATTTTCATGGAAGAAAGCACTTTGCACTTAGCCGCATTTTACTAAGACGAGGGACTCAGCAAAGATAAATTGCACATTCAGTCTTCATGCCAGGAAGATTAAATTATTAATATTTAATTAAAGATTTTATTTTATATGTAATTGTATTTTAAACTCTTTTTAAACATAAATAAAGACAAGCCAAAGATTTCACATTATTATTAATAATTGTATATTTTTTTGTAGTATTCAATTGGACACAAGTTTTTCCATAAATTTAAACATAATACATCTAAATTAATGTAAATTATTTTATTTATTACAATTAACTTAATAAACATCTTCAATTAATTCAATAACTATTTTTATACAGAAAAATACAAAATATAGTGAAACATTTAAAGCTAATATAAAAATATACATATATTTCATTGTCTATATGAAGCTTGTTGAATATACTTCAAGAGAATTTCTTTTGTTACAGGAGTTTCAATACTATGGCAAATAGCTGAAAACAACATTTTTATTTTTTTGAAATTAAAAACGTAAACAAATAAATATAATAATTCACATACCTATTGCAGTTTTAAGAGCGTTAGGAAAAGATTTGTCAACGCGTTCACGCATAAACTTCCAATTCCCATTTTCAAATTTACATTCTATTATTTTTCCATCCATGTTTTTTAATTCTTTAGTGTATTTCATTTTAGAGAAAGGTTCATGTTTACCACCTACATACAAATATCCCACTTTTGACTCCAACATACTAAATATTTTTAAAAATTGTAAAAAAAATGAATTTAATATTCAGATTATATACATTACCCAGTTCCACCCTCTGTAACAATTTTAAGTCTAAAATCAACAGAATTTAATTCTAATGGTTTCCATTTCAGTACTTCAGGGCACGTACCAGCTACATAAGACTATGGTGATAAAAATTAAAAACAAGTTAGGTATACTACATAATATGTTGCAACAATAATAATAAATTAAATAATTTAACAATACATCAGTTGACGGTTGGAATATGAGACCATCAGGTTCGTGACATAAATTTTTACTAAAATTTCCGAGCAACTTATCAGTAGCATTAATATCATAGAACTGTTTTAAACGTATACTAAATGGTTCATGAGTTTTATTTAAACGGCCAGTAATCATAGCTTGGTGCCTTGGTTTTATTATATCTATCTAAAAGCATTAGATTTAGTTAATATTTAATTTGAAATGGTTTTTAATATATATATGATTAAATAAAATATTATTTATTGATAAAATATTAATCCAAAGATTCATAATATATTTTAAATTTCAACATATTTTATATACTAACTTCAATTAGCATTAATCTGTTTGGAAAAAATGGTTCTTTACCAACATCAAAGCCTTCAAATGCAACAACATCATATACTAGATAGCGAGGTATATTTTGACCATCAACTTTATCAATGATCATTTCCTAAAACAACAGTAATTTTTGTGAGTAATTTCACAAATAAATCATATTATAAATAAGTAATTACGCCATCCAATAATGTGTCTTTTAAATGATGATCTAGGTTTTTTCTATGCAAAAATTTTAAACCTTCTACTTCAAATACACTGTTGTCTCTATCAATAAAATAAATTTCATTTTCACCTTGGATATACATCATGTACCTATTGTTTATAAAAAATTTAAATTTATAACCAAGTATAATTTTTTTTTCTTCAAAAAATTATAACTATATAATAAATAAATAATAATAATTATAGTAAAAATAAAAATAAAAATTGACCAATGACTTTTTAAAAATAAATTACCTAGTACCATCAGCTTTCCATGTTACACGATAAGGTTTTGTACTTAATAATTTCATATTTTTGATATCCATAGAAACAGGTTGTGAACCAGGAAATCCATTTCTATATATGTATATAAAAAAAAAAAATGTATATTGTTAATAAAAAATAAAAGTAAAATATAGATTTGATACCAAATAATTCACATGATTTTAAAAATGATAGTGTAAATAATTTGCTATTTAATAAGTACAGGATAAAATAAAATTGAATAATCAATGTTAAATTTTAACTTAAATTATTAAAAAATACTGCAATTTGAGAAGGGGATATACAACAAAATACCAGAAAAATTACAAATACAGATTGTAATTTATATAGTATTATACAAAGACATACATTTTGTTGATTGTATCTATAAGTTTAGTATGCAGACTACTTGACTGAATTCAATAAATTTTTTTTTCAATAAATACATTAAGACTTATCAAATATTTCTAATTTTTTTACTGATCATAGGAGGGCACTTATTGTAGTTTAATTTACCATTTTTATTAAACATAGTATAAATTTTTTCCTAAGTATTATTTCTTCAAGTTCTTCAACTTAGTTATTTATTAATAAATATATTGGAAAAGAAAAAGGTATAGTATTTTAAGTATTCCTCTTTTAGCATAATTAAGAATAACTTGTTCCCTATTTTACTTTTAAGTTATTTTTTGTGAGTTTTAAAATTGAACAATTTAATTTTTATTAAGATTAATTAAAATAGATGATGTATGTTTTGGTTGAACTAAACAATGAATAATCAACACTCATTCTATGTTTACTGTATCTTTAGAGTACCCTCAAAGTTTAAAGCTTACTGATTTCTTAATGACAGTGAATATATATTAGTAAAACTTTATCTTAGGTTAAAGCCAGATAATTAAGTTACACATTTATAATTATAACAAATTTATCTACAGATCAGCAGTATGTTGCAACACAGATGTTGAAAAACATTGATTGAAAATATAGTTAAATTATATATATTTAATATATTTAATTTAAGTAAAATAACGCAAATAAAATATTTAATCATATTATTACACTATTTAATAACATTTAATTTTAAATGCAACACTAATATCTCAATAAGAATAATTTGATCTTTTTCATACATACATTTAATTAAATATATTTTGTTTGCATAATTTTTTGTTTTGTTTTAAAATATTAGATTTAAATTTAAATTAGTATTCTTACCTATTCCATTTACATAAGTTTTGAACTGTTTTTTGAATGTTTCCTAATCTGGGTTGATCAAAAATAGCTGAAACACCTGACACACCCTCCATAAAGACTGGATTTTGATTATTTATCTCATTTCTTGATCGTTTGTTATTGCTAAATTATAATTTAGATAAATTAATGATAAATTTATATCAGCTTAATCAATGAATACTAAAAAAATAGTTGTACGGTTCATATTCTCGTCTATCTTTAGAATCCTGTTCCCTAAACTCTTGTTTATGTCGTGAGGATGATTCATGTCGATTTGAAAGATGGTTGTCATCTACTGATTCTGAAATAATTTTAAATATTAAAACAAAAATATTGCATAAATTTATAAAAAATATAAAAAATGAATTTAATGATAAGTTTGGATTTGTTTATAAGTATATAATATTCAAAATAATTAATAACTATTAACTACCCAAACACCAATCTGGAAGTTCTGGAGCTAAAATAGGTTTTTCATCTGAGTACCGCTGAAATAACTCAACTATATAATCTTGTTTGTAAATTCCTGGAGGTCTAGTTTATAAAAATGTATATGTTTACTATTTAATACATAAATATTATTCAAATGGCTTTACCTAGCTGCCGCAAATTGAGCTATAGCACTAGTAACATCAAAATCCAATATTTCTATTAAATAAGTAGCTATCATGAATCCAGTTCGATTAAAACCATGAGTGCAATGAACACCTTAGATAAAAAGTAATAATTATTAACTTCCGATTCTTAATATTCAATGTAAAAATAAAAGAATAAATATATGTCACCATAATTTACCTATACATTTCAAAGGATTTTTATCAACAAATTTTGAACATATATCCACAAATAATTGAGCTTGTTCTCTAGTAGGTGGATGGTCATGACCCGCACAAGGGATTTTTACATAACCACATTTCATGTTTTCTATTTCAGATTTATCATAAAAACGGCTTGTTTTTGTTAGATCAATCCATAATCCTAAACAAACCTAAAATAATGTTACTGATAAAATATTATCTATTTCAATCAAATACCTTCATATTTTTTACACAGACAAATTAAATAATTTTAGATACTGAAAAAAAGACTATAATTTTCCTATACATATTTTTATAATCACTTTTAGGAACAAAAGAGTACAACACAATACAGAAAGAATTTGAAAGTGATTTTTTTAAAAATTTTCTAAGAAAATTACATAATGACAGGTAATGTAGTAATGAAGATAATTTAAAGTGTGATTGTATTGGCAAAAATATATAATTTAAATATATACCAATTTTAACTTATGTTTACCTTCATATTAGCCATTGATGAGAACAACATCTCTGTATTGAACCTATTTATGATAGGTACTTGTTCATCATATTTACTATCCAATGGTGTTTTGAATGCCACAAATTTATCAGTTATAGCTGTGAAAGATTTACGAGGGCATTTAATCCATCGTTCAGGAACTGGAGGACTGTGTGAAGAATATGATGAGCTAGATCCATAACGCTTTGATCCTGCGAATTTTTTTTTTTTTTTATTTGATTTTAACTCATAAATATAATTTGTTCATATTAATTCGAAACTATTCTACTTATATTATTTAGTTATATTATGTATTTGGTTTACCCGACATTATTATTATTTGTAAGTTCTAAGTAGTGAGTTAAAACGAATGAAAATTACAATGGTAAATCATCATTTTGAGTGTCGTTTCTTATTTATTTATATTACATTGATTCTTATAGTGATCTAAAGACGTGATTATTATACGTAAACTATTTTTTTTTTTTTAGTTAAATTTTTACTTAACACTATTTTCGCAATCATAACACATCAAAGAAGAGATGAAAAGTTGTTTTTTACTCACTACTCGTTAGTTATGTTAATATCAATCCATTAACAATGATAACGATATTTGTTTACTAATTATTTGTTCATGAAGATATAGACATTTTTTTATTACTCCATGATAATTGGTTGATATTTTTTCTCGGTGCTATCTTTTTATATTGGTACGTGCATTGATAATAGATGTATTAACATCTATTATCAATGGTAACGTGCCAGTCGGTGTCATAGAATATAAATTAGGTCTATGTGTGCCGGTTAGTTCTACAAGAGTAGAACACAATTAATTATACTGCTTGAAATAAAACGAACTCTCGACTTCAAAATTATAACTTTATTACAAATAATTCTAAGTTCACATATTTATTAACTAAACAAATAATTCTAAGTCCAATCAATTTATTTAGTACGTAAACTAGTGATGGGAATGAAATCCGGATTCTTCGAAAATCTGCCAAATCCGCAATTCGCATTTCGCATTTCAGGCTAAAAAATCCGGATTTAAAAATCTGAGATTTTGGTTTATTATTGCAAATTTCTGTATTCTAATTACATAACTTTCATTACACCACTTTTTAGTCGTCATTTTAATTCTCGGACAAGATGATGATGGTATAAATAAGATATCTTAATAATTGGTAAACACTTCAAGTCTTGCGTACCATTATTTTTGGAAATACAAATAATAATAATTAAAATGTATTTTATGATATCTGACTTATATATTTAATATTACACAAAAACTTGTATATGAAATTCTTAATTAGGTTAGGTCAATATTTAACTTAATTTTGAGAATGTTTAATTATTTTGTATTTACTATAAATAGTTCTCGGTAGAATACTAATTCAATGTTTTCAAATATCAAATCCGAATTTTCAAATTTCAGCGAATCCGGATTTTTCCCATCACTAAACGTAAATCAGAGTGATGGTGCTTGCAATGCCACATTTGAGCACATCTGAAAATGGGTCTGTTCAGAATCCCATTATATACCCCAATTTCGTGTGAACCTTATCGTTCTCTGTTTCATGACTATCCAACACAGGATGTGGTCAGTGATAAGTAATTTCCAAATATGGAGATGTTTTCCTAACAATCCAGAATGTGACCAATGCCGGCCCTAGAGGGGGGCAAGCGATACGATCGCACCGGGCCCCGCGCTTGTATGGGGCCCCACAGGGGTATATTTATGGTGGGCTAAGGGGACTTCAGCCCCCCTCCCCGAAATCCAGGAATTGTTTATTAAGTCTGCTTATTATCAGGAGCGTCATTTCAATATTTTTTCCGAGTGTGCGAACTTTTAGGCAGGCCAATTCTGACATTTCACCAGGCCATAAAAAAAAAAAAAAAAAATATATATATATATATATTTTTTTTTTTTTTGCTTATTCCGGGCCTTGAAGGTCCATCGCCGCTTCTACTACGTCTCTCCACAGCTCTCTGTTCTTCGCCAGTTGTTCTCCCTTTCTAATACCCAGAAGCTTGAGGTCTTCTTTGACTCGGTCAGTCCATCGCTGTCTTGGTCTCCCTATCGGTCGTTTTTTATTTGGTTTCCACATTGTGACATCATGCACTGTTGGCCCTCCGCTCTCCAATCATGCCCGGCCCAGTTTATTTGTCTGTTTTAAGAATTCCCACTATGTTTGGTTCATTGAATATTGCCCTCAGTTCTGCATTAGTTCTTCGTTCATATAAATTTTCCTCGTTTCTCTTGGGCCCATAGATTCTACGCAGTATTTTTCTTTCAAATAGTAGTAATCTTTTCTCGTCCGACTTTGTTGACGCCCACGCTCCACAGGCATACAAGACTATAGGCCTAATGAGTACTTTATATAGTCTTATTTTTGTATTTTTGGAGATTAATCTTGATTTAAACACAGGTACAAGCGCAAAATAGCTCTTATTTCCTGCAGTTATTCTCCTTTTAATTTCTTCATGGCTGTTTGCTTGATGGTTAACATCTACTCCCAGGTATTTAAAGTTTGATACCTTTTCGAAGGTAAAGCTTCCGACTATTAACGAATTTTGTACTTGTTCTCTACGTGACAGTATTAAATATTTCGTTTTTTCCTCATTAACTTGTAGTCCAATCTCTTTTCCCTTACTTATTAGTTTTTCTGCCAACTATTTTAGATCTTCTTCGGTTTCTCCTACAATTATTATGTTATCAGCATACGCAGCTAGTGTAATTTGATGTCCTTCTCCTATTTTTAGACCCGTGCCATCATCAAGTACTTCTCTCTCTACTGACTCTAGGGCTATGTTAAATAATGTAGGGGACAACGCATCTCCCTGTCTAAGACCTGTTTCAACTGAGAAATCTTCAGATAGTTCTTCGTTGAACTTAACTTTACACTTGGACTTTTGCACACATGCCTTTATCAATCTCACCAATTTTGTAGGGATCCCGAGTGGGTCATTGCTTTCCATAACCTACGTTGATTAACGGAGTCATATGCCTGTTTGAAATCAACAAATAGTAGGTGCACATCTATGTCGAACTCGTGACTTTTCTCTACTATTTGCTTTATTGTATGAATTTGATCCACTGTAGATTTCCCTGGCATAAAATCTGACTGATATTGCTTTATTATTTCCCTTATGTATGGTTTGATACGGTTTAGTATAATATTCGATACTACTTTATAACAAGTGTTTAGTAGGGATATTCCTCTATAATTTTGGCAAACCATATCGTTTTCTTTTTTGTGAACCGGGCATAGAACTGACATATGCCATGTTGTTGGTATTTCTTCTTGTTGCCATATGTTATCTACTAGTTATTTCGGTTATATCATTAGTTCTTTTCCTCCTCCTTTCAGCAGTTCTGCAACAATTGCGTCTTCCCCTGGTGCCTTCCCATTTTTCAACATATTAACTGCCTTTTTTACTTCTATTATCGTGGGTTCGTTTAATCTCTGTTCGACCATGCTGAGGTTTTCTTCCACGTCTACTTGAGTTGGTTGATTCAGCATTGTTTCAAACATGTTCTTGAACTCGTTTGCAGCCTTTGTTTTATCAGTTATTAGTAATCTTTCTTCATCCTTTATAATTGTTGCTTTTGCCTTAAATCCATTCTTAATTTCATTTGTCTTTTCAAAAAAAAGTCTTACATTGTTTTTATAGCTGTTTTCTATTATTTCAAGTCTAGAATTTTCTCATGCTCTTTTCTTTTTTCTAAACAATTGTTTAGTTTCCATTTGTCTAGCTGAGAATATTCTTTTATTTTCCTCACTTGGGTCTTTTAACATTTTTATTTGGGCATTATCTCTTTCATTACTCGCTTTTTAACATTGTTCATCAAACCATTTTTCCCCTGTTTTTCTTTCTTCAAATCCGAGGACTTCTGCGGCCGCCGTTTCAACAGAGTTTTCGATCTCGTTCCAAAGATTATCTAAGTTATTTGATCTCTCCGTCAGACGCAAGGTCTCTTTTAGTTTGTTCTTGTACTGTCTATTGATTTCTTAGTTTTTTAGATCTTCTATGTTAAACCTTTTGATAGAGACGGTCTTTTTTCTCCATTCCACTGACAAACGTAGCTTGATTTTTGCTCTTACTATAAAATGATCAGACATTGTGCTGCTACCTCTCATGCTCCGGACATGATTGCATAAAAATGGAGAATTGGAGGCACTTTAGTTCACGATAAATAGTTAATCTACCAAGGTATCGACAAGTATAGAATACCTCACCAACATGTGTAAATCAACTCCACGCGTCGTAAACATTTGATAAAAAAGATGAAAAATCAAAAATTCAACAAAAAAAACTTGAAAAAAGATTACTATCTAATACTATTAGATATTTTATTTAATATATAATATATGAAAATATAATGAATAAGTTTATTATAACGGCATATTGGAGTATTAATGGCGAGCCAATTGCCAACAATTTTTAAGTTAGAGGTGCCGTTGCACACCCTGCCCCATCCCAAATGATGGCCTGGTTTAGAAGGAGGTGAGGTTAAGAGATAAGACTCGATTGTCTTTTTTTTTTTTTAAATGCATTCATAATACAAATATGATTTATCAACACTTTTATAAACAATAACTTTATGAGCTACAAGCCTAACCATTAAAGTCTCCTTGTAAAGTTTTTGGCTTCAAATCACAATCTCTTAATTTTATTATTACAGTAGTCCTCGATAATTCAAAATTCAGGGGACCGAGTTAATAATTCGATTTATAGAGGTTTTCGATTTACCGAGTGTTCGAATAATTGAAGGAAAAAAATTAATAAATAAAATACATTGTATATATATAACGTTTATTTTGACATTAACTTATTATAAATATAATTATATACATTTTAAAATTATTAATTGATATTTATTTATTACACATACATAGTATTATATTTTATATACATATTACATATTAAAGAAATCTGTTATTTTTTTTTGTGAAAAATTGTTGGCCGCAATCTGGTCCATAGCATTGTCTAACTTAATAATAGCATTAAAAATTGTATTACTTTTAACATCACTAACCTCTCATTGAAAATTCCTGTGCATTACATTGAGCGAATTACATATTTTATGTCAACATTTTGTAACAAATTTTATTTATAAACATATTTAACCTACTTTGCATCAACATTATTATAAACACTTATATACGATTCTCATCAGAATATTTAGTTGATGGTACATGACATTTTTGAAAAAAATGAAAAAAAATTACATCATTCGCATAATAACTGTTATTGGCTACTAACAATAACGTGTTGCTATGACGTTTTAAATTAAATTGTTCAACTAACAATAGTTTGTACGAATATTTGTCACATCAACAATGGAGTCGAGAGTGAACACATACAATTTCCTTCTAATATTTCCTGAAGTCATTAATACTTTAAAGTTTCAAGTGTAAGCAATTTTAATTTGTCACTTAACTATTATCCCCATATCCGCTGATCAGTGGTCGATTTGTTGACTTTTGAAATATTGGATTCGCCAGTCATTGGAGATAGTCTATGCAGACATCTGTCGAGCAGATATTTCTATTAACAATTGTCAGATATAATTTTTTTC